TTGCGGTACGCGGGCCTCTCACTGTTGTGGCCTCTCCTGTTGCGGAGCACAAGCTCCGGACGCGCAGGCTCAGCGGCCATGGCTCACGGGCCCCAGCCGCTCTGCGGCATGTGGGATCTTCCCAGACTGGGGCACGAACCCATGTCCCCTGCATCGGCAGGCGGACTCTCAACCACTGCGCCACCAGGGAAGCCCAAAGTTTACTTCTTTATACTCTAGGATAGCCCTGCCGCGGGCCTCACATCACTGCCTGCTCACTCAATGTCTGACACTTTGTCTAGTGGAAGAGGCTCAGCCCCCAAGAGCAAAGCACAGCGGATAGAAGTTGATTGAGTTCTTTTAAAAAGCTAAAAAGCAATTAAAGAAATACTCTGTTACTTCTCATTCTTAGTACCACTCATAGAACAATTGTCTCCTGGGAGAGCCTGTTGGAATACAGAATTACATGTTTTAGAAGCTTTGGGTACACATCTTTCTCGAGGAAATGGTCTGCACGGAAATAACTTCTTGAAGTTTTCTTCAACTCTCTGAGTCAAATAGAGGATTGAAAGCTCTCTAAAGGAAGGTTTAGGGTTGGTTCCGAAATTCGTACATTGTTTTTTAGAGTTTTAGGGAGTGATGTTTTATAGCACTCATCACTTATCTCATAATTTCATTCAAAGTTGTTTACCCAATTATTGCCTAATTGTCCTCCTTCCATATAGGATGTTACCTCCACCTGGGGCTATTTAAAATAGTCAAAAATTCTAATATGAAAAAAAGAGCAATGGCTGACCATTATCACTGTATTGTAGGTTCATCTGCCATGTTTTTAATGGAAAATAAGTTGAAGACCTGAGACTGAAGAATACACATAATAGAGATGTTACAATGTGGCATCATGTAAGAATTAGGAATTTCTAAAAACTGATGAGAAGTATGAAGCATTGTGTTAACACCAGCTTATTTCTCTGTTGGAAACCCTGATGTCTTGGGTCTGAAAGAATGCTTTTCCTTGTTTTATCAGAAAGGTTTTTTGAAGACCATGAAAATGTTGTTGAAGTCTTATCAGACTGGACAAGAGACACAGAAAATAAAGTGCTGTTTTTGGAGAAGGAGGAAAAATATGCTGTATTTAAAAACCCCCAGGTAAGATAACTTGTATATTGTTAAACCATATAAAATATCCATTTTTTAATGTCACCTGTGTACTCACCAGATCATTCATTATCTCACAAAATATCACAAATGTATTCCTTTCAAAGAAACACAAACAACTCTTAGGCCATATCATATGTAAACTAAGAGCCCCTTGAAGGATTCAGAGAGAAAATAATCCATTTTGTTTCTTTTGATTCAGCATCCAAAATATACCTCTCTATTGACTTATCCTCCTCTTCTGTCCTTATAGCTCATTGGCTACATTAATCCAATATATGTGACGCACTCTGAGCCATTAACACTTCATAGTTTAGAGATACCCTTTTCTTTGTTGTTCATATTTGGTGCTTATGGATGTTGGGATAAGTCAAGAGAACGCCTGGAAAATGTACAACTCTACATACAGTCTACAAAATAAAAAGTGTTGTTCTCCATATTTGTAAAAGCTTCCTCAAATCATGCGTACAAGGATGTCCTAGACTTGTCCCATGGAAATCTCCAGCCAACTGTCTGCACATGGCAGGCAGGGAAGTTTCCTCACACAAAGTTGCATTCAAGCGCTCACCTGGGAAATCTGTTGGAGTTAACCAAGTGAAGAGTAGAGTAGAAGCGAGCATCCTAGGCGGGGTGTGTGTGCAAAGTCTGAGAAGAAAGAGGGAAGTTCTTTTAGGTCATGGGAAATTGTACAGCTGGACCACGAGGAGGAGGTAGGGACAGGGGGTGACAGTCCATTCAGGTAAATTGTGGAAAAGAAACTGATAGAAATAGCATATTGGGGGCTTCCCTGGAGGCGCAGTGGTTAAGAATCCGCCTGCCAACGTAGGGGACATGGGTTCGAGCCCTGGTCCGGGAAGATCCCACATGCTGCAGAGCAGCTAAGCCCGTGTGCCACAACTACTGAGCCTGCGCTCTAGAGCCTGCGAGCCACTACTACTGAGCCCGTGTACCACAACTACTGAAGCCCACGCGCCTAGAGCCCGTGCTCCACAACAAGAGAAGCCACTGCAATGAGAAGTCCGCGCACTGCAACGAAGAGTAGCCCCTGCTCGCCGCAACTAGAAGAAAGCCTGCACTCAGCAACAAAGACCCAGTGCAGCCAAAAAAATAAAAAGAAATTAAAAAAAAAAAAGAAATAGCATATTGGTTAAAATAAAAGCAGGTCAGAAATGAATGTTTCCAATCACCAGTTCATGCAATCATGATTGTAAGAGGTTCGTTTAAAATATATTTTCAGGCTGTTTACTCAGTTTTTAACATTTTGGTTTTTTTGGCTGCGTTGGGTCTTCATTGCTGCACACGGGCTTTCTCTCTGGTTGTGAAAGCAGGGGCTACTCTTCGTTGCAGTGCGTGGGCTTCTCATTTTGTGGTGGCTTCTCTTGTTTTGCGGTGGCTTCTCTTGTTGCCTAGCGCAGGCTCTAAGCGCACGGGCTTCAGTAGCTGCAGCACGTGGGCTCAGTAGTTGTGGTGCACAGGCTTAGTTGCTCTGCGGCATGTGGGATCTTCCCGGACCAGGGATTGAACCCGTGTCCCCTGTGTTGGCAGGTGGATTCTTAACGACTGTGCCACCAGGGAAGTCCCAACATTTTGTTATTTTTATCTTCTCAAAGAACCAGCTTTTAGTTTCGTTGATCTTTGCTATTGTTTTCTTCATCTCTATTTCATTTATTTCTGCTCTGATCTTTATGATTTCTTTCCTTCTACTAACTTTGGGTTTTGTTTGTTCTTCTTTCTCTAGTTGCTTTAGGTATAAGGTTAGGTTGTTTTTTCGAGATTTTTCTTGTTTCAACATTTTGCTGTTTTTAAAAACCCAGCCTCAACCACTCATGCCTGCTTTGCCTGTTTAGCTATATTCTATATTTCTTTTATATGAAGCTGCATTTTCTTGCCACCGTGGGATTCATTCAACTTTGTGGTCATGATTGAGGGGCATGGAGTGTGCCCCACTCTCTGTGGGTGGAAGAGCTCAAGTCTAGGGTTCGTTCTTGCAAAAAAATGATTTATGGAAGTAGAGATGGTGAGTGAATTGTCATCTGCAGAAGCTTATTAGGTGACAGAAGATTCTGAAGCCACTGACAGTGTTCCAGGGAATTGTTCACTGCATTAAGCCTATAGTGTGTTGTGTTTATTCCTAGCATCCCAGTGCCCGTGAGAGCCGGTGGAGGTCCAACACCGCTTAGGACTCACGGATGCTGGAACAGATCCTGGTCTTCCTGGCCGGCAGCCATGGCATCAGGCCATTGATTTACACTCACTTCACTCTCTAATACTTTGCCACAAGCCCCAAAACTTTAGGAATAGATGCCAAACAAGCATAATTGTCTAAGAATCAAATAGAGATAAAATTTAAAAACCTGAAAAAGTCTGAAAAATGACCCCAAAGGCTTGAAGATGCATAAAAACTAAGCACTACTAAATACTTAGTGCATCCGAATGACTAAGACCTGAAAAATAAGTGGTGGGGGAGATTTTGAATCAACGTGTTGTTTCTGCTGTGATTTTGTTCTTGATCAAATTGTTTTTTAACAAAATCATGTGGTCCTAGCAAGACCTCCTTTGGACTGGAGAGCAGCAGGAACAAGGTGATCAAGGGCTTTGTATATCGTATTAAAGACACTGGGCTTTGTCCTGAGGCTTGCAGGGAGCCGTTGAAGGGTGTTGAGTTGAGGGAAGATCAGTGTGATTGCACAGCAGAGAATGGATTTGGAGAAAGTAAAAGTGGCAGCCGCCATGTGATGGAGAGGTGGTTACAGAAGCCCAGAAAGATGATGATGGACTGAAGGGCATTGGGAGGGACTCAGGAGGTAATGGAATTTTGCAGAATATGATGACCGCTTGGATGCTGGTATAATAAGGAGGCATAGAAGCAGACATGGATGACACTGATTCCCCGCTCGGGAATTAGATAGGTCCTGATGCCCTTCCCTTCGGTAGGAAGCATGAGAAGAGAAATAGGTTGGGATATAAACATGATGAACTACATTTTAAACATTGCTGAGTTTCTCCTTCTCCTTCAAAGAAAAATCTCATTTCACCCTCCATAAATTCAGCATGAAATGTACACATTTTTACTTTCGTGTTTTCTATCAGATGGGCAATATTTTATCTATAAATGTCACTAGAGACATGCTTCTAAATTTTTCCTTGTGTTGTTTTTGTCTTCTCATGAGATGAGTAAAAATCTTTCTACCTTTGACATCCCCATCTCACCTGTTCTCCAACTCCAAGGTATTTATTTACAAGGAAAAAGAGAACTGACTGGATTTTGGTCACTTTCCCAATATCCACCCCCCAAACTTACCTTGCATTAAGGGACTTTCCTCTGTGATTGTAAAAAAACTTCTAGAGATAAAGATAGTGACAGGAACTGACTTCTATTAGATAGTATTTGTTCTAAGTTCTTAAGATATCAAACCTAAGAACTTTTTTTTTTCTAACTTTTATTTGCATTTATTTTTTGCGGCATTTATTCCCGGGCCAGAATTTTCTATTTCTTCAGTTTCTTCTGGGATATCTTTTTCTTCTGTGCAGCTTCCTCTTCTGGTTTATGAACAATCTGTTCTTTTTCAGTAAGGCCCATCTCAGTGTGGCAGGGACAGCTCGTGTATGGGTTGATCTGACCATGAGCTCTGTAAGTCCTGTGCTGCATTGTGCAGGCTTTGTTCACCTGGGTTTGCTCAATGACCAGAGAATCTACATCTATGCCCTTAAGTTCAGCCTTACTCTCTGCATTTTTGAGCATTTGCAGTAAAAATTCAGCACTTTTTTTGGGCCACCGACCCTGCGTCCAGCCCCACTGTTTGGCCTGGCCACACCTACCAACTCCGCCATTGTAATGACAGAATGGCACACATTGCTTCTTTATAGAGACATCCTTCAGATTACTTGGTGGCTTTTCGGATACGCATACACGTATTGGCCTGGGCAGTTTCACGAGTGTTCTTAAAGTGAACACGATGAGTTGAACCTCTTGATTTGCATGATTTTGTGGGGTTTTCTGGATCAAGTGAATAGCAAACCATTTTTAGAGGTCACCTCAGGCCGCTTGCTGGAAAAGCCTAAGAACTTATTTACATGGCAGTTTATAACAAAAGGTATGTTTTATCAAATGCAGAGGGATAAACTGATCATCCAGGGAAAGATGGAAATTGCTAGAAACTATTAATAGCTACTCTATGCTAGGCTAGAAGCTTTGCAAGTATTCAATCTTTATAAGAAGGATATATTGCTATTCCTCTTTACAGATGAGAAAACTGAGATTAAAGATAGAAAGGAGGCCTTTGTTTGATCTTAAGACTCATTGGGGACTTTGATGAGTGGTTTCCATAGGTTGAGTCTTCTGTTCAGAGCTCTCAAGACTATAGGAAACCTAGAATGAAATTGGTAGTGACTGAGGACGTCCTCAGACAAGGTAAATTGAATACAGCTAGCAGGACGATATCACAAATGGAAACAATTCATTCAGAAGTTACTACACTGACTCAGTTTCCCACAATGAGAAGAAACTGATTGCCAGAGACCCAGATCAGAATAAGCCCCCATTTATTCTTTTGCTGTCTCTGTAACAGTGGATGCAAAGGCCTGGCCTGGGCCACCATTCCTGAAGAACCGTGTGCTAACAGTCACATTGTTTTACATGGTAAATGACATCCTCTGTGCCCTTAGAGACAATGGTGCCTACTCTCATAGGTCTGCAAGTGTAGATCCCTGGAGTGCTTGAGAGTTCATATTCTGTCTTTCTCCTTGGAATCTGCATTCATGACTCCAAAGTCAGTCTGTTCTTGGCCTCCCCATAGCCTGTTTGATATGTAAAATACAGATTAGTATTTGCAGCTTGACTGAGAAAGAGCTTCTGTGGCCCAGAGTATCAGTTCTTCTGGAAAATTACTAAACCATACAAAATTATGTAAAATTTCATGAAATTTTACAACACTGAAATCCTTAGTACTTAATAGGATTCTCTTACAAACTACTTATCTGCGGGGATAAGT